ATGTTGTTTCCCTCTAAGCAACCCATGAAGCAGCGACTGTGTGCAGATACTGTGGGCTTCTATCACGGAGCAGGCTTACACGGTGGATTGTGGTTTATTCGTGTTTAAACATGGATAGATTTGTCTGACTGAAATTGAAAAGCGCAAGATTTAGAAATAAAGTGAGCTGGAGGTCTGCTGCCATGGCCTGTGGGAACGCAGAGAAACTGTGGCCTCGAAGAAAAAGTTTTTTCCTAAACAGGATGTTCTTGTGCTCGTGTTTGTGTGGTGAGAAGGAATCCTCGCAGGAGCAGGAAGAGAAGATGAACGGGGGCTTGGACCTGGATAAGATGGGATCTGGTGAGAAGAATGTGGTCCGTATTCCAGTGGAAGATCTGGGGATAGTTAACGGCAGCTTCAGCCTCTGGGATGAGGACCCCGTGACCCCGGAGAACATCGCGACCTGCTTATCCAGCTCTGAAACGACTTGGGAAAGGAAACCACTCCAGGATCTGTCTTCACTCGCTGTGCAGCCTCAGGTTCAGCTGACAACCACCCAAAGTGTTAAAGAGGGTGAAGAGGAAGAGGAGGAATTTCAGTTATTTGAGAATGGCACAGATGACACACCTGGTTCTGGAGTCCTCCTGACGACACCTGTAATCCATCTGATTCCACCCACTCCCTGTAATATTACGATCGGCAATCGGTTCTTTGACAGTAATTTGGAGGAAAGTATGACGCATGCATGTGGTAACGGAGGTTTAGCTCCAGGTGATGAAGAGAAAAGAATCATTATGGTTGCAGAAGAGCCATCGGCGGGATGCACGCCGGCTGACGTCATTACAGCCGAGGTAGAGAGTGAATCTAAACACAAAGGTCGAAGTGAAGAACTTGGAGAACGAAAAGAGGCTAAAGCTTTTAAAAAGTGGGATAACGACAAATTTAAACCCAAATTCTCATGGAGTTCAGATCAGGGGGTTCCTCTTCCTTCTTGTACAAAGAAAAGTGAGTATCCGTTTATTCAACTCCACTCTGATGAGAGTTGAGCAGCTTTCATGTCATGCTCAAACTACAGTAGTTTATTGGAGTTCTATTACATGAATGGCCTTGTGATTAGCCTAGCTTGGCAAAAGCATAGATTTGCTACATACACCGTCATCCCAATATGCTAAAGGAGAAAAAACAAATTTATATAAAACTTTTATGGAGGTTCCATTTGATAGCAACCCAAATATACACAATTAGTAGTTATAGTTACACCAAACAAATTCAAGGTAACTATTTGGGGAATTAAATTTAACACGTTGTGACAACAAGAGAATTGTGCAAATTAGTGTAACATATCCAGAGACATACCGTATTTTTTGGACTATTGGTGCAGCGGATTGTAAGGCGCATTAAGCGAAACTAAAACATTTTGACAGATTTTTGAGCACCATGTACCACATTCAATTCAACCTTTATTTAGACAAATAAATCACATTGAGCCTCGAAGACTCGTTTACAAGTGAGACCTGTTTAGACAGACAAAAAAAGTAGTGACACTGGGCACATGTAGGAATTGGAGGCAAAAAAAAATTCCTATCAATCTCTTTCTCCTTGGCTGAGAAGAAAGACCCTGATAATGACAAAAACACCCCGCACATACAAGCACATGGTCAGCAAAGCAAAGCAGAGGAGGGAGAGGAGGGGAAATGTATCCGCCCTCGGCAAGAGCAAGTTCAAGGTCAGTAAGCACAACCAGAATTAATACATAAGTTGCAGTGGATTATAAGGCTCACTGTTGATTTTTAAGAAAATTAAAGGATTTTAAATGTGCCTTATAGTCCAAAAAATATGGCACTGATCAAACTGATCTGGTCCTGCCTTCTGTTGTTGTTGGGAAATGAAGCTAGCAGGACTAAATTTACCAGAGATGTTGTGTTTTTGGAACCAGAGGCTGTGCATTGAAGATGTGGGACTTTTAAGTCCCGCCTACTCCCCCTTACACAATCATGGTGTCACATGAGCTTTCTTTTAAGCATGGAAAAAAAATGCATATATACAACAACAATATTTTCTTATACCCCATGTTTTTCATACGTCTGTTGAAAGGTGGCATACTCAGTCATATTATGGTATAATCTAAGTCTGTCCGCCCATAAACGTTCCCTTGTCCCACTGATAACTTCTGATACGTTCAAGATAATTTAACAAAATTTGATGTACGTATGCGTCATTGCGAGATGAAGTGTCACGTATGCTTTCATCACCCCAACTCCAAGGTCACAAATTAAGGTCAAATGTTATACTTGTCAAGGCAACTGCTATAAACTGCTGTATAACAGTTTGTTGATGGGCGTATAATGTGCCCAGTGTGTGCAGTACTTTTGTTTTACATAGAGGAGGCAGGACTTCAAACTTGCACTTGAACCAGCCGATAAGTAAGCTGGTCTCGTTCTGGCTTCAGTTTTAAGTTCTGGTTATTGATCCACGTCCATTTACAGGCTCTGTTCTAATCCAGTTCGGGCCTGGTCTCAATCCAAAATGTTATTTTTTTTTAAACAACAATAATTTCAATTCAGTGTAGCAACTGTGACGCTTGTTGATACAAGTTCTGCAAGCTAAGATGCTTTGTGTCTTTGTGCTGCAAACAAATACAAAGGCAGCTCTGAAGTGAATGGGTTGTTTCCATTGAATAACTCCTTTGGAACCAGCATGAACTGGGCGCTGAAGTTTGAATTTAGTTCTAGAGGCAAACTTGATTTTTGTCTTTGGTCATGTAGCTAATGCAAAGAATGAGAATTAGAATATCTGTATGGTCTTAGTAACAAGTACAACAAAATTAAGTGTCCCCTTACAGTCTCAAATATATACAAAAAAAACTATAAAATGTGAACAAACATTAAAGATAAGAAAAATATTGCTAAAAAAAACAGTCATACAGAACAGCACACTACTGCACATTAAGGCATTATTGCACATCTGCACATGGTTATTATATCATGTTAAGTTCATCTCTTGAACTTAACAGATTTCACAAATCTATTAAAGTATTTGTGGATCATGATGGATTCATTGGATGTAGCTCTACAACTGTTTAAAACAACTTGATTTAAGATGGCTGCTACAGCTTGGCTATAGTCAACACTACAAAGGCTTTCACTCAGTCATTTTAATCAAGATATTGAGCTTAAATTTAATGCAGTCGTAGCCAAGACACAACTTACAACATATTTTGATTACACAAGAGCTTGTGATACTCTGTGAGATTGCACAAAGTTCTTTTCAAGTCCTCAAGAAAACCGCTCTAAACTCGGTCATTTCTAAACTTAAGATGACTTCGGTTTAAAGCACTGGCATAGAGTCTGAAAGGTTGTAAGCATCTCTTTAAAAATGGTATATACATATTCAAAATACACTTTCCTCAACAGGTCATGCCATGTGCACCTGTTGATGGGCATTCAAATGGTAAATGGACTGTACTTATACAGCACCCTTCTATCTAAAGAAGATACTCAAAGCTCTTTACAACACAATCTGTACAATCTGTGCCCTCATTTTCCTCCACACACCTTCATACAGCACTCTACCACACATACATACATTGCTACATACATACATTTCTTGCTTGCTCTCAGTGGAAGGTAGATGCATCCTCTTCTCTGTCCCTGCTTTGCTCTTTGTCTTGTGAACCTTTTTCAGAGCCCCCTTTTTTTTGCATATCTTCCGAATTGTAATGATGGATTTGATCAGCTGGTCTCATCGAAATTGATCGATTTTTCTCAACAGGTAATCAGGGTGAAGCAGAACCCTCTTACCTCAACGGAAATATAATTGGATCTATGATAACTGGATTATACTGTTTGGAGTTGGTGGAAATCTGGTTTGCTGATAAATTGTGGAGAATGTGCCGAGCTTGGCAGCACTCAGACTGTGTGCGAACTATATGTGGTGCTATATCAAGCTGAGCAGGCGGATCCTTATCAGGAACGTAGAATTTTGGCAGTAGCCACGAACGGTGGAAGGAATAAATCTTGGAAAAGTTGTAAGTTCGACTTGGCGCAAGTAATCAAATTTGGCTGTTTGGAGTCGCCATGAGAGAATGTACTAGGGAGATTTTTAAAGCAGACACGGAAATTTACAAGTTCAACCTGACCCAAAACAATGTGATATCTGAATCTGGACCTAGCCTTGGGAGAAGGATTATTTCAAGTTTCTCCTTGGACATTATGGAAACACGCTCTGTCCCCATCGCCACCCCTCCCTTCCCCAAGGTTGTGGACCTGTGACAGAGCTCAACCGAGCTGGCTGATAAACAAACACCTCTTATCAGGACTATGGCTGGGGTGGGTGGAGGGGTTCTGGACTGTGCTGCGCTACAACCTTCCCTCAAACTCAATGCCTCCACTGGCCTCCTTTGCCTCCCCTGGCACAGCAACCTAGGGGATGCAAAGGTGCCAAGGGCTGTGTCGCTCACCTGGAGGTCGTGCTGGGACCCCCAGCCCCCTACCCACTCCACACGCATATGTATTATGTCTATTTATGTTGCTTTGCTGTGGTAGATTTTTTTTAATGCTTCAAACCGTACCCTGTCAAGGACACGGTGTAAGAGATCTTGTTTTTATACCTCTCTCCTTATGTTTTCTTCCCTTTTTCTTTTCTAAGCAACAGGGGCAGTGCATCTTAGAAGCTGCAGCCCCCTGTACACTTCTGTCCATCTTTAGGATGGCTGTACAGAATAATTTTGTTGTACTTAACTGTGAAAGTATAATAAAAGTGTTCCGATTCTGATATTCATACAGCACTCTGCTACATCTCTACAAAGCTAATCTGAATCTGTAGAGACTAATCAGAGCTTTAGATCACATTCAAACACCGATGAGACACACATCAGAGGAAATGAGGGGTTCAGTGTCTTGCTATTAAACATTTAATATTTATAGCATTTCATAAGTAAACCTCGATGTTGGCTCTTGGTGTGCTGTGAACACAACACGGATTCTTACAGGTGTTCTGATTTTGTTTCTTTTCTCTCACAGGAAGATTTAACTCTGGAATCAGCCTTCTGTCATTTACTGAACACAACTTGGGTGAGCGTCGCCATCGTCATGAACCCTCTTTGCTCTGTTTAGGAAAAGTACAGGTGGTTGGTTAATGGCTCCAGAAGGTCACGTGCCTCCTCCAGCTGTTCGGCTCATGTGGTAGCTGTTTTGTTTTGATCTTAGCTCCCCATTCAGCTGAAATTGCCGTCATTATGCGACATGACTACAGTATCTCAAACGCCTCCGCTGGGAGTCGCAGAAGTTCCCCCTTTGTTAGAAACCTTTTTAGCTTTTGTGTGTGTTTTCCCCCATGTGTGGCTGCTCGGTCTGTTCCCAGGTTTTGGGTTCCTGTGACTCAGCATGCTTTTCCTCCCTCAAATAGCTTCTTTTCAAACCCGAGCAGAACGATAATACTGGAAACGATAAGCATCACTTTTGCCTATCTGTTACTCAGATGTGCTGAAATGTCCCGACTCAAAAGCTTTGCATTGTAATTAACCCAGTGCATCTCTGTTAGGCACCAAACTGAGGATGATCCTGTCAGTGTGAACCAGCCAGGTCAGGAGGTTCAGTCATGTTTTTGATCTTTCCTGATGGCACCAACTCAGAATGGTGAGCTGGAGTTATTTCCATCTTCCCATTACTGGCGATGTCACCGTTTAAGGCAACTTCAGCCTGCATGAAATTCCCCGTCCCTTGTTTTGATTGGATTTTTTCATTCTGCAACCATCATGGTGAAAAGAAGTCACGGAGTACGACTGGAAGAGATTTTCTCAGGATTCTAAAGATGTCTGAGGTCAGGAAGATGAAATTACTCCTCCATGTCCTCACGTTTAGCTGAGACTCATCATTTGTTGCTGTTGCAACGCCTCGATAAGATGTTTGCTTTGCGTGGAGACGGTTCAGACTTTACTCAGCTGTCAGCCCGACTCCATGAGGGAAGGTGATGAAGAGACTGCGAGTTCCCCGTCCCTCCTTCTGCTTCCCCTCCAGGACCTGGACAAGATTCCACCGCTGACACACAGAAACTAATTACGCCATCTTATCTGATTCTGACTTCATGTGAAGACCTATCCATGTCAAACCTGCTTTTCAGAAACAGGGCCCTGAAAAACACATTCAAGGAATCATCCTAAATTTTCTCGCAAATCCATTTATAAAGATGTCGCCTACATTTTGAAAGTTGTTGGAATTACATCATTATTAGTGACATGTGAGGCAGGAAAATAAAACAGGCCCTGGATTGACTGGATTGTTATTGCCTCATTTGTCTTGCCTGGCATGTTGGCGGAAAATAAATAATCGAGCAATATCTGGAAAATATAAAAATATCTGTTCTCTGTGGGAAAGAACGTGGGCCGATAGAAAAGCCTGATATCCAGCAGACAAACTTGTGCTTGACTGGTTGCTCGGTGATGCCGGTCCAGTATCAGTACCAGCGAATGCACTGAAAACATACCCGACTGTAGGAAAAAGAACTGGCGTACCAAAAGTCTTACAAACATGACCAGTTCCATTTATGTCTGCCCATGAATCAGAAGGGTGATGATGAGTTGGTCTGTCGTATTTCTCATGAATGTAATCACTGAATGTTTGTCAACAACTGATAACATTTAGAGTCAACCCAATTCAAAACAGATGCCATGTCTAATTGAACTAAACAGACTCAGAAAAGGTTGCAGCTCTGGCCTTTACTTGAGGACCTCATGGAAATGTTACATCTAACCTACAAAGCCCTCAACATCCTAGTTCCATCTTATATTACAGATCTTATTTTTCTATATTTTCCTAATGGAGCACTTCACTCTCAGACTGCAGGTTTACTTGTGATTCCTAGAGTTTCCGAAAGCAGAATGGGAGGAAGATCTTTCAGTTATCAGGCTCCTCTCTTGTGGAACCAACTTCCAGTTTCTGTCCGTGAGGCTGACACATTGTCCAGTTTACAGACTGGGCTTAAAGACTTTCCTTTTTATAAATCCTATAGTTAGGGTTGGCTTGGTTTCCTGTGCTATAGACTTAGACTACTGGAGGACCAATTGACCACATTTCATCAAATGAATAGTTTGTATTTGTAATTATTTCTAACTTGGCATACGTTTTTTTTTTCTTTCCTCCTGTAGAAAGACCTGCTCACCTCCACTCTGTGTCCATTTCTCCTTCCTGTCCTCTCAAACCCAGTCGGTCGAAGCAGATGGCCGCTCGTCCCGAGCCTGGTTCTGCTGGAGGTTTCTTCCTGTTAGAAGGAAGTTTTTTCTTTCCACTGTCTCCTTTGTGCTTGCTCAAGATGGGAGACTGTGATGAAGATTCACCCCAATCTGCTGCTTCCTGAGATATATAACTTTTACTAACTGGCTTTTTTAATGTTTGTGAATGTTTCTGTTCAGTGCCTTGAGACGACTTCTGTTGCGACTTGGTGCTATATGAATAAACTGACTTGAACTGAAATGTTAGTGTTTTTTTTTCAATATTTATTGCTGTCAATAAACAACAAAAAGAGCAGGTTTAAACGTATTCGCTGTAGTTTCCAGGCTCAGCTGCATGTGTGCAGTGTCTGCGATCAGTTACATCCAAAGGGATGAATTCATGAACGTTCCTTTGGACCCAGGGTGTGTTTGGTTTTGCTCTTAGGTGATGAAAAATGGTGAGCAGCACCAAAAACACTCTTCTCTCTGCCATTTCATGTAACTGCTATAAGAAAAGACAGACCTTTGACTGCAGCAGCTTGTAGTGCTCACGTGATTTTATACCGGCAGAGTATTTTACACCTCTACAGGAGTTCCCCTAAAAACCTCCACTCTGAGACCTGGATTCAGAAACCTTTGGTTTCAGAGAGAACGAGAGCTGTTGTGTAGATTAAAAGCCGAACCCCAGGATGTGTGTAAACAGGACGTGAAGAGCCCTGTGTATTCCAACCAAAATTCCGAAATCTGCACTAATTGACGTATTTGTGTGACAAAGATTGCCAGGGCAATGAACAGAACCATTCATGTAAATAAAAGTCAATTAATAACATTTATCTGAGGAGCAGACTGCTTTGAGTTTAACTCCATCACATACTCATCTTGAGCAAGCATGAAGGCGACAGTGGAAAGGAAAAACTCCCTCATGAGGAAGAAACCTTTAGCAGAACCAGACTCAGCATCTTCTTCGACCGTGTTGGGTTTGAGAGGAACAGATACACAATGGCAGGTCCAGAATCACATGTTAAGATAGAAACAGTATCAAATGAAAACTACTCAATTTTAACAATTCATTTAAGGAAATGAGATCAATTTATCCTCAAGTAGTCTAAGCCTATAGCAGCATAACAAGACAATCCTAACTATAGGATTTATCAAAAAGGAAAGTCTTAATCCCAGTCTTAAAACTGGACAATGTGTCAGCCTCACGGACAGAAACTGGAAGTTGGTTCCGCAAGAGAGGAGCCTGATAACTGAAAGATCTTCCTCCCATTCTGCTTTTGGAAACTCTAGGAACAACGAGCAAACCTGCAGTCTGAGAGCGACGTGCTCTGTTAAGAAAATATGGAACAATAAGATCTGTAATATAAGATGGAGCTAGGTTGTTGAGGGCTTTGTAGCTTAGAAGATTTTGAATTCTACAGGGAGTCATTATAATGAGCTAAAGTCTGACGTGGTAGTAGCTGAAACTCCCAATACATATTATGAGCTCTAACAGTTCGCATGAGACCAAAACAGCTACAACTCTGCCATATCTCATCATAAATTGATCTCTGGGATTAAAGGTGGTGGGAGACGTGCCTCCTTTGGTAGAATATCATGTTTGAACATGACGATCTCATTTGCTTCTGTCCAGATGACCCTGACAACACAAACACAAGCTGCTTTGACATGCTGATGGCTGAACTTCACCTGCCTCCCAACACGGCCACAATGAACTCATTTACTCACCAAAAGGTATGGGTATCATCTAAAGCTGCTCCCCTTATCTCTTCAGATTGTATATCACATGCTCTCCATGGCTAACACATGCACTCTTAATCTCTCTTAAAAACTAATGGGGTGGCTGCTGCTCAGGAGGTGGAGCGGATGACCTCCAGAGTCAATCCCCGGCTTTACTACTTCACATGTTTGAGGGTTTCTGAATAAAGAGAGTTGCTCTCGTCTTACTTGTAAGATGTTTGAATTGTAGACTCTATAAATTTAAAACGTTCAGACTAAATTGGAAACCTTTGTCCTGTGACAGCGGCCGTTAATGCGCTCCTGCAGTGTTGGAGACACCACCAACCAACCCGCCACACGTCAGAGTCTGAAGCAGTCCGCCGACCAGTGCAAGGAACGCAAGAAAATATCTCGACAGCGACGCATAACCGTTGGTGAGCCGGGTGCCAGTTCATTAAAAACTGCTGCCCTGACTGTGCCTGACAACAGTTTTGCACTTTGTGCTTTTTCTTTTGTTTTTTTGCAGCGTCATATATCCCCCAGTCTATGGATCAGAATGGAAACGTCTCAGAGAAGGTACTGTCACGCAAAAAAGTGAGACCTTTGGGGCATCTTTTGTTAAAACGAGGGACTGTTAAAACGATCCTGGGGCAGCCCAAACCTAAAATCTACATTTCAGGAGTTTTATTATGCTGATGTAAGATGAAGGCTATTTGAAAAATTGTAGCAATAATTAATAAAACAAATTCCCCCACAACTCCTAAACGTCAAAGCACGTTCATTTCCTGCACTAACTGGACCATCTCCATGCATCATCAAGGAATTCTTTCCATGATGCAATGGGAGTAATTTAGCCAATCAGTGCAATAAAATACAAAATAAAAATTAAAAAGTCCCACCTCAGACTGAAGTGCAAAAATTGACGGGGACGACATTTTTGATTTTGTGTGAATGCCGAGTCAGCATACTTAATTGTTTAAAGTTTCTTCTGCACATTTTTCAATATTTCTGCACACTTTTTAAACCACCTATATATCAAAACATTAATCTAAGTCTCAATTAGTGTGCTAACTGTTTTTGTCATCTTGATTTTCAAAAATACTAAACTTATTTCAAAATAAAATTCCCCATAGACAAACAGAGATCTTTTGAGTTCCTTCAGAAACTTTGTTCTGTGTGAACTCTTCTTCAGTGTGCTAGCTTTAATTTGATCTTTTTGTGCTACATTTAGCTTTTAATTAATATTCTGTCACTTTTGGCTTTTAGCTAGCTCTTTGCTGTATTTCAATTTTAGATATCCTTCTCCTTTTAACATTCAATTACGGTTCTGCTCCTTTTAGCAACAGTTTTACTGTTTTTAGCTGCTGCTCTGCTCCTTTAAGCTACATTTCTGCTTCATTGTAGGTGTTTTTAGCTGCTGTTTTGATACTTTAAGGTATGGTTCTGATCCCTTTAACTTTCAGCTGCTGTTCTGCTCCTTTAAGTTGAGGTTCTGCTCCTAACTTTAGCTTCATTGTAGCTGTTTTTTAGCTGCTGTTCTGCTACTTTAAGCTACAGTTCTGCTCCTTTTAGCTTCATTGTAGCTGTTTTCAGAGGCTGTTCTGCTCCTTTAAGCTGTGACAGCCACTTGTTGCACAGAGTTGCACAAAGCTTTGGCTCTGGTCCTTTTTAACGTTTAACTGCTGTTCTGCTTCTTTGAGCTACATATTCGCTGCTTTTAATTTAGCTACCGTTCTGCTCTTTTAGCCAAAGGTTTGTTGATTTTAGCTTTTGTTTTGCTTCTTTTAGCTAGAGATTTGCTACTTGTTTTACCTTTAACAACGCAATTTTAGCTTCTTCAGTTTCTCTAATAATTTACAAAAATCTCTCATAAAATCAAAAAGCAAAACAAACCTCTAATCGGTTTAGCTAACAAGTCTAATGTAGACGGATTTGTTTTAGTTGTTTTTTTGTTTTTTTTGGTGAAGCAAAATGTCGGCAATCATTTTTATCGCATTTTTGGATCGTTAAAAGCAGCTAAGCTACGAGCTAAGCTAACAGGCCAACCTCGGGGAAAAAACCTCCGTCTTGTCGAAGCTCCAAAATTCACAGTTGAAACCTGTGCCTTCATGTAAAAAGTTGTTTTTCATCTACAAAAAGAAGCTGAGAACTTGTTTACTGATTTTTTTTATTAAAAGCTTTGTGTGAAAAATGCTATGCTAAAGAGCTTAAACCACACCGAACGGCCAACATTTTGAGAACTGAACAAAGGAAGGAGAGACAGCCCATGTCACGTCATGGGGCCTCCCTCCCATTTTTCTTAAAGAAACACACTGCTCGCTCCCTCACTATCCATTCTTTGGTTCAAACAGTCTAATACTGCCATCCGGTGGTCAAAAAAGGCAATACACACAAAAATTAATCTATATTTATTCTTAAATTTGACTAATAATTATTGTCAAATTTCAAACAATATTATCATTTATCGCAATAATTTCTGAGATAATTAATCACCAAGCAAAATTTGCAATCATGACAGGCCTAGGCATGACTTCATGTTGTTCCATGTATTCCTCAGCGTTTTCTCTGTAAAAGTAGGATTTAAACCAGAACTTGCTCCCTTCTCATGTAGAGTTCATTACAACAAGCACGTCTGCAGCTTCTCTGTCCTTCCAGGACGTAAAGAGCCAGGAGGCCAAACCTCTCTGCGAGCTGAACACAGAGGAAGTCTGTCAGTGGTTTACCAGGATTGGACTACAAAAATGTCTGCCTTTCATCAGAGGTAACACATGACCGTCTCATCACCTGGTCTTATCGAACTCATTTTGATTTATTGCTAAACAACAAGGAGTTAAAGATAAAAAGTAACGTCAGATCAAAGTTGGCATCAGTTTGAGCTGCTCAAATAATTTGGCGTTTGTGTTCCGTTTCTTTTAAATATATTTTGATTTAATGTAACAATTTGATATTTTTAGTCTTTGTTCTGACTCTATACGAGTTACATTTTGGTGCAAGGATGGAAAGTTCAATTTGTTCTACACAAACATCTGCAAATACTTTTTAACATTTTTTGTACAGAGGCTAAACTGTGCGGAGGAGACGTCGCCTCCGTGGATGCAGACGTTCTGGACGTCCTCCACGTTGTCACAATGGAGGACAGGGAGCAGCTGCTGGCGGCCATTTATAACGAGCTTCACCCTCCCAGCACCGTGACTCAGAGGCTCGACTCGTTGCTTGGTACACTTCAGCCCTTCGCTTACCGTCAGACGTCTCTAAATGCAGATTGTTTACAGATGTTTCTTTTGTGTTGCAGAGTCTAACAGTGTGGAGACGTTTACTTCAACTTTAGCCTCAATGACTCAGTCCAAGTCCTCTCCACACGTGAGCTGCTTGAGTATGAACCGACGTTCCTTCAAGCTCAGGTAAATCTGATTTGTTCCTCTGACAGAACGTGCAGCAAAAACACTCAGCGGGTCCATTCTTGGAGAGTCAACAAACAGGAGTTCCATTTGATTTCACGTAAAGTTTTCATTTTATTTTACAAGAATTAATCCAAAGAATAGATGCAACACTGCAGGCTGACACATTCAGCCCAGCCTGTCCAGGCCTCAGCATGCCGCAGCAAGCAGCGGAGCGTCCATGAGAACCCGTCTGCTGTGTTGTTAATTATCCTCATGGGTTCTGGTCTCGTCCTCCTGACAGCTGAGCACCAGTCGGGCACAACCACAACGATAAATACAACAAAACAAAAAGTGGCGTTTTATTTTTCACAGAAACGGCAGCCAGAGCCAGGTGGTGCAGCGGAGTTCTCAAATGATAGAGGTCACAGTTAGTGGTGAGTACGTGAAGCCGTTTGTATTTATTCGCACACAAACACTGAAAAACAGGAAAATACTGCAAAAAACACAGAGAAGACGCCGAGTGCTGAAAATGGCTGACGGAGCTGAAACTGGTAAAGTTGAAACAAATGAACAAAAGCTTAAAAAAAATAAGAAAAAAACTACAAGTAGCTAAAGGCTAGCTAGATGTTCAAATAAGGTTAGCTAAATGCTAAAAGTAACGAAAAGATTAATTAGAAGGTGTTAGGTTTTAAAGGGACACTAGAGCAGGGCTATTCGACTGGTGGCCCGGGGGCCAAATCAGGCCCACGAGTGAGCTCAGTTCGGTCCGCCAGTGGGCTCATATTTAAATAAAACTAGATTTTAAACCATAAAATAAACTTACTTAATGACAATAACTGCTGGATGTCTGGCCCCTGAGCTCCAACTGTGGCTCCCTGAGCAATTTAGTTGAATGGCCCTGCACTAAAGGCTTAAAATATCTAAGAGTAGCTAACAGCATTTAAAAGGCTAAAGGCTCAATAAAAGCTTAAAAAGAAGCTAAACATTAGCCAAAAACAAAAATAGCAAATGGTTAGCTAAACGTTGCAAAAGTCCAGCTAGAGACTCAAAGTCGCTAAAGTTTAGCTAAAAGTTGCAAAAGTCCAGCTTGAGACTCAAAGTAGCTAAAGGTTAGCAAGAGTCTATAAGGAGCTGATGTTTTGCCAGAGGCTAATAAGTGGCTAGAAGTTAAAATTAGCTGAGCATAGCTAAAAGTACCCGAAGGCTAGCTAAAAGTAGCTAAAAGCCAACTAGATGCTCAAAGAAGGTTAGCTAGATGCTAAAAGTAACTAAAGTTAGCTAGAAGGTGTTGGGATTTAAAGGCACAGTAGAAGCTTAAAATATCTAAGAGTAGCTAACAGCCTATAAAGGCTAAAGGCTCAATAAAAGCTTAAAAGGAAGCCAAACATTAGCCAAAAACTAAAGCAGCAAATAATTAGCTAAAAGTTGCAAAAGTCTAACTAGAGTCTCAAAGTAGCTAAAGGTTAGCAAAATGAGATAAAGTTTTGCCATAGGCTAATAATAGGCTAGGGGCTAAAATTAGCTATGCATAACTAAAAGCAGCAAAAAGGTAACTAAAAACTAAACATGAGTAAAATCTAACTAAAAGGTAAAAGTAGAGGAGGAAGTCAAGGAGAACAAAGTTTTGTTTTACATTTATGAGAAAAACGTAAATAGTGAAATATTTTAAAAAGTCTAAAAGATGCAAAACCCCAAATGTTGCGACCAAAATGTCCTGAACGAGTTGAACATTTTGCTATAAAGATTGCTTTAAATAGCTGAATATATGCTGAAGTAGTTAATTGTCCAAATAACACAGGAGTTAACAAAGGGGATGCTGACTCAGCAGACAGTTGTGTAAACAAAAAGTAACATTTTGATACGTTCTGGTCATTTTTGTCTTTGCTATGCTGAGTCCCGCCTGTATTACTGACGTTTCTGTATCTGCTGAAAAAAAGAATCAGCTATCTGCATGTCCTGTCGTTGTCTCAGCTATGTTGTCTTGCAGCATCAGAACGAATAGTTCATCTCAGAACTCCAAAGGAAACAACCGCGGGAAAATTAATGGATTTGTGCGTTAAAATGCTTGGAGTGAGCGACGATCAGAGCTCATTCACATTAAAAGAAAAGCAAGGTGCCTTAATTAACGTTCACACGCCGTCATATTATGTTTTCATAAAGATAAACTTGTGTTTGTATATATTTTTCACTTTACAGATTCACCAGATGAGCTCTGCCCTGATCAGCAGATCGGGACCATACTGACATCAGAAAACAAAAATCTGGAGCTCTACATGTGTAAAACGGTAGCTTTGACACATTTTTCATAAAAAGTTACACTAAATATAAAACACCAACATGCACTAACTTTTCACAACCTTTTATGGTAATATTTTACAATAATCTCCTTATAGATGACTAATAATTTATATATATATAGATATGTTATTAATTCCTCTATAAAACACTGTTTAAATCATTAATAACTGCTTATTAAGCATTAATTAAAGGTGAGAAAGAGACAAAACGTACCAGTTTCTTGCCAAATAGTGAGCCAAATCTGTTCCCCTGTATATATTTCATCTAGAGTTGTTATATTAAACATTTCAGACTAAGTTACTACCTTGTAGGCACAATAACCATTTGTAAACCAATTTTTTTTAGGATATAATATGTACTTTTTCACTGCATTATGAGTATCTATAGTTGTAGATACTTATAACGCAGTGATGAAGTACAATATTATATGCTAAAATAAAAGGTTTACAAAAGCCTATTGTGCTTACAAGGTAGTAAATTACCGTATTTTCTGTCGTACACGTCGCACCACCTTATAAGTTGCATCAGTTCAAATATGTCTAATAAACTGGAAAAATCCATAAATATGTAGCTTCGCCTTATACGTCGCATCTATTACGTGTCACCACTGACAACCCAGAAATGTGGGCCGGTGTTGTGCCAAAAATCAATTGGCTGCCAAATGGCGGCCGCGGGGGTGTGCACAGGAGGACTTTAACAAGAATTGAACAAAATTAACACTTAAAAACAATTATTTGTTTGCTCGAAATTATAGCAAAGGTGTGTCTCAGTTGAACTTTTCCTTAATAAATGCACTTTGATGGTCAACTCTGCTGCATTTCAAAAGCCGATACGTGGAAACATGAACGAGCAGAGGGCGACTCGCTGCGCATTTCTGCGAAATTTAACAAGATAGCCACCTAAAAATTGTGTGTTAGCTCAACTTTATAGTAAAGGTGTGTCTCAGTTGAACTTTTATTTAAAAAAGACACTTCAATGTTTAAATCAGCTGCATTTCGCTGATTTGACAGTTGCTCCAAGCAGATGATGGTGTCAGACTATGGCAAGCTGATTGTGTCATTAATCGCCACTTTTACCTATTAAATGATAAAGCGGCACACCATATTACTCGAGGGCCATCTAGCAGCTGAAAATGGTAGTGTACAACATTTTCAGTCAGAATTAATTTCAGTTAGAATGAATGAAAACGGTCATATCTCAGCCAAAAAAATTGGTTTATAAATATGAGAAAAAAAAATCATAAATACGTCACTTCGGCGTATAAGTCGCAGAACATGCAAATTATGCAAAAAAATACATGACTTATGGGGTGAAAAATACGGTAGTCTGAAATGTTTAATATAACAAGTCTAGATGAAATATATAGGTGAACAGATTTGGCTCACTATTTGGCAAGAAACTGGTCAGTTTAGTCTCTCTGTCACCTTTAATTAATGCATAATAAGCAGTTATTAATGATTTATAAAGTGTTAATAGAGGAATTAACAACTCATCTATAAACTGTTTATTAGCCATCTATAAGGAGAGCCTTATTGTAAAGTGGTACCCATTTTACATTGTAGGAAAGACAGCAGAGTTCTGCTTCAAACAATAGTCCCGTAATCAGCAGCTCCTGTGAGAAAAGTGACAGAAAGGAGGACCAACCCGCTAAAGAAGACAGAATCAGGGAGCTGAACCAACAGGTGGACTCCCTACAAAATGTTGTCCTTCAGGTCAATACTTGTATTCAATAATTTTACATTCAAATAAATATTTATCTTGTCATACAAAATAAATGGAATCGGATTATTTCTCATTCTGAAGATCCAGGAGCTCCACCATGGCCTGGTGTCCTTTTGTTCAGAGTTGAAGCACATGGACACCGAGGTGAGCATGGACGGGCTCGACTCTGCTGGGCTGAGAAATAAACTGGAGACGGTTAACTGCCAGCTGAACGAGAAGAGGCACAACCTGCAGACCCTCAGAGACGATAAGAACAACTTCACAGCTCACAAGAACAAGTTGGTGAAATGTTTCTGTAAAATATTTACACTTTGCTCTTTAAAAGTCCTCACTGAGAATGTAAAACCCTGCATATTTTGTTTAAAGTGCTAAAGTTATTTGACATTTTATATCAACTGCAGTTTTTCAAAATACACAGTTAAACACTTAGGACAATAAAGGATTCACAACTTGAGTTTATGTTTTTCAGTTTAGGAGCCACAGTTGCTAAAATCACATCTTTGATTTGGCAGAGACCTCGGTTGAAATGATTGTAATCAGACCTTATGCACTTTTTTTTACCAATCATAACCCTAAAACAAAGCTCTTTCTTTTAATCTAACAATAATTTCCTTCTCAATACGTCACCTGAGTTGTTCCAGGTCCAAGTAGTTATTTTTTGTTATGGCCCATGGCGTTCTTCATTTTGCTTAATCAAGATGATCATTTTATTTGTCATTTTATGCTGACGACACTCGGCTGTATAGAACTGTCCAGAGGACCTGACTTAACTTTGTTGGATTTTTCTACCTCGATTACTGAGCATGAATCGAGGTATCCTATGGCTGCACTTCCTGCTCTTTTGCTTTTCTGTTGTTCTTTGGTGACACCTACAGGTCAGGAGAAGAACTGCAGCAGCACCAGTGGGAACAGCAACAAACACTGAAAATGTGCTTAAAGCTATGTGAATCAACTAATATGCCAGGAAGCAAGTTAGCTTGTGTTTTACTCTTTGTGAGGAAGAAAATACATTTTGCTGCTAAGTAACAAAGATTATTTCACACATCGATGGCTGGCAGGATCATTCATTTTACCCTGAACGTTATTTTATAATTGTGAGTCAGGATTTGGGAAAGCCTTTTCAAGGACTTGTTTGAGCATGGTCCTTTTCTTAAGTAGTAAACAATTAGTCTCAAGGACTTTCATTCATTCAACCTTTATTTATACAGGTTAGACTCATTGAGCCTAGATGAGTCATTTACAAGAGAGACCTGATTTTAACAAAGAGTGATGACAACAGTGGAACAACAAAGACAACATTAGGCAAAGTTGTCTATTGGCTTAAATGACACATTCATTTCCTATGTTGTATTGTATCGCATTAAAACAATGCGTTCATTCAAACTTATACAGAGTTGCATTGTATTGTGATATGTAATTGGAATCTTAATCGTCTTGCGTGGTATTGTTTTTTGCTGCCCAAGTATCTTTAATGAATCAAATGGTTGACGTTGTATCGAGATAATACATAACCCTACACAATACACCATAACCCTCCTCCTCCACCATAACCCTCAGCACTGGCTCTCCTCAGGGATGTGTGTTGAGCCCCCTCCTGTTTACTCTGCTCACATATGATTGTGCAGCTACCCATCCAGGCTGTCACATTGTAAAGTTTGCAGATGATACAGCGGTGGTGGGATGCATCACAAACAATGATGAGTCCAGCTACAGGCAGGAGGTGGAACACCTGGAGAGCTGGTGCAGAGAGAATAACCTTCACATCAATGTGAAGAAGACAAAGGAGATGATTGTGGACTTCAGAAGGAACAAAAACACCTACACCCCCCTGAACATAAGAGGATCTGCGGTGGAAGTGGTCTCCAGCTACAAGTACTTGGGTGTACACATGAATGACAACCTCAGCTGGAGCAACAACACCACCAGCCTGATCAAGAAAGCTCATCAGAGACTCTACTTCCTCAGACGGCTGAGGCGAGCTGGTCTGGGAAGCTCAGTCCTCACCTCCTTCTACAGGTGTGCAGTGGAGAGCATCCTGTGCTCCAGCATCAATGTGTGGCATGGAGGCTGCACAGCTGCAGAAAGAAAAGCTTTGCAGAGAGTGGTGAAGGCTGCACAGAAATCTGTTGGAATCAGTCTCCCCACCATCACAGACATCTACACCTCCAGATGCAGGAAGAGGGCCACCTGCATCATGAAGGACCCCACCCACCCAGCACACACACTTTTTGCCCCACTCCCCTCAGGAAGGAGGTTAAGGAGCATTAAGTGTAGAACCACTAGACTGAGGAACAGCTTCTACCCTGAGGCTGTTAGACTCATGAATCTCTAACTAGAATAATCACTGTGAAAAACCATATCATGTTGCTGCTGATCTGTTTCATGTTGCTGCTGATCTGTTTCAATGTTGATGTGTTCATGCGTGCACATCTGCTCACAGACTCATGTTCATGTTTGTGCTGATGTTCAATGTTTTATGTTATGAGTGCTTAGTGTATATTTAGTTGATGTTTTTCTTAGTTCATATCTTAGATGTTATTACTGTTTTTCTTATACATTTTATTGTTGGATGTAACTGGGACCCTGTGTACATAATTTCGCTCCACCACATGTACCACATGAGGTGCGAATGACAATAAAGAAACTCTGACTCTCTGACTCTGACTCTCTGACTCTCTGATACATACCGGCCACAGACCAGAGATTCATAACCTTAATATGTAACTGGGAATGATGTGCAATTGTTTTTTTGACGTCACAGTGTGTCTTAATTATGTCTCAGTTTGATGTCAACCGTCACAACCCACCACGGGGAAATTTCCATAAACTGATGGCGATAATGGAAAACCGCTTCACATAAATTTGAATTTTATAAACCATGTTTGACTCTACATGTTTGTGACCTCTACGATGTCATCTTTTCCACTCAAGACAGTTGGAGGTCCGTCTTTTGGAAAAGATCAACATCAACTGCCAGGTGTTCAAGGAGGAAATTGCCATCGTGCACTTAAATCGTCAGGCTGCTCATCTCCAAAACGCTCTGCAGGAAAGCTGTGCAAAGGTACCGCAGATAAACTCGACACCTTTCGCAGAATAGTTGCATCAAAGCAGAAATCAAGGCGCACGATAAAAGGCCTGGAGTTCAGGCAGTGGGTGACAGTTGCACCAATATGTGGGAAAGCTGAAAGTCTGAGAGAGGGAATGTTTTTATTTCTAAAAATAAATGCTGGAGAAAAATGATATCCATATCAAAACAACTCCAGAGACTGATAGAGGCCTGTTTGGTATGGAACATTACTTTTTTTTCTCACTACAGGAACGGTGGAGTCATTTGGTGTTTTAGAAGAACGATGCCACGTTATCAAGCTGCTTTTAGCCAAATCAAAATATCATGTGTAACTGGCTTTTCCCTCACTGATAATCAGAAAACAGTACAGCATGTGAACGCATTTGTTTACTTAGATCTCCAATTGTTATTCTGATTAAAAGCCCTTGCATATCCTTTTGCCACTTTTCCCACCAGATTTAAAACTAAAATCTTATAAGAAGAGGCAAAGCTGTTCTCATCAAACCTTGATATTAAATGCACAATCTCACGGGAGATGTGACGTTCAGACTTTGCCTCGTGGAGGTTTATTTAGCTACTATTTTAGCCCAATATTTGCTAAATTGACTGAGTTTTAGCTATTGTTGTGTTGGCTAATGTGAGTTGCAATGACAAGTGAGATACCTACTGTATTTTCCAACGTATAAGTTGCAGTTTTTTGCAAAGATTTGTCAGTCCTGCGACTTGTACACCGAAGCAATTATATACTTTTTTTGTTTTCCATATTCATAATTCAATTTTTGACTAAGGCTTTAAATTTCGACGAATTGCAACAGCGAGTCCTCCCGTGTGTGCCCGTTTCACTCAGCTGGAGCAGGCGGAGGAATGCTGGAGAGCTAGCGGCTCATGGATGGATGGATGGATGGATGGATGGATGATGGATGGATGGATGGATCCCGCCCAGGCAAAATTAAGCAGTTTTGACCATTAAATAAAACACATAATAAATGCGACTTATACTCCGGAGCAACTTATACACCAGAAAATATTATACATCTCACCCACTGTAAAGCTGCAGTAAAGTCATGAAGTGTTCAACATATACATTGTGATGTTGGTTATTTTACTAAATGGAGATTGTTGGTTTAACTGTGCAGAAAGCTGGAACGAGAAGACATTTCTGTGCCACTGAATCATGAAACAGACTCGAATATACTTTCCCTAGAAGTCACCAGTACAGCACATGGAAGTCCCTCGGAGATAAACACCGAGTGTGCATCACAGTCAGTCGACCACCTCGATATAATGATTAGCTTTAACAGAGATGATACCACAAGTAGCTCACAGCGATCCAAAATAACTTGTGAGCCTGACCACTGAATTCCAATCCAGCCTCCTGGCATAATCTGCTCTCCCCCCACACGGCGTGTGAATGCCTCGCAGCAATGGCTGCCGCTTTGGAAGGGTCGGGGGTCAAAGCTAAGGCATCTCTCTCTCTAGACAAGAGAGCCAGACAGGATATATCAGCGGAAACGCAGCCGAAGCCCCTTGACAAGAGTCTAATATGCATCTTTTTCTCCCCTCTGGCCTGCTCAGTTTTGGACACTTGCCAGGAAGAAATTTTCTTTTCATTTTCTGCTCGTTCATCCACAAGTTCTGATGAAATCCCGGCTTACCTGGACCAGACACGGCTACTTATTGAAAAGCCACATGAAATTAAAGACCTAGCATGCTTTGAAAGAATGCATATCACCCGCCACCTTTAAGGAAAGAGTTTCACCAAAGATCATCTGATGTTAAGAAATGACGGAGTGCGTCGTCTAAAGCAATACTGTAAAGACCTGGATGATCTCGGATGCTTGGAGTGCGAGTTGTGGATGACTTTCAGCTACAACAACGTCTGAGTTTAGCTCATGGTTTATAAAATAAACTGAATTGTTGCCATTTTTGGTGTAGGCTTAGAGCATTTAGCTGTGGTAGCCATTTTGTAATGGGTTGATTCCAAACGTTAATCAGTTATAAGTACACATACAATGCAACAAAGTTAAGTCAGGGCCTCTGGACAGTTCCTTTCTTTGTTGAAACGTTTCGTCCTTCATCCAAAGGACTTCATCAGTCCGAGGAGCTACAACAAACTCAGTCCCATAAGTGGCTTACTCACATAGTGGGCCAACCAGTTTTATGGTGATAATGTTTCTGGAGTCCTCCCTTTCCCTTTTCTGAGGCAGCCATAGCCAAAGTAGTTCAAAAAATCAAAACAAAGTTTTAAGACGAAACATCAAGCATGAACTTTGATGTTTTAACCATATATTATATTTTAAACCATATTATCACCATAAAACTGGTTGGCCCACTATGTGAGTAAGCCACTTATGGGACTGAGTTTGTTGTAGCTCCTCGGACTGACGAAGTCCTTTGGATGAAGGACGAAACATTTCAACAAAAAAAAAGGAACCATCCAGAGGACATGACTGAACTTTGTTGGATTTTTTTATATATGGATTATTGAGCATGAACTTTGATACAAATATAATGATTACTTTCTGAGTTTAACTGAAGTTTGTCCAATGGTTCATGAGATATTTTGCTAAAAATCAGGGTGGACGCCAACTGTCAGTGCCAAGAGTTAATGCGAAGATCAATGTGTTGTCCTCAAAATATGCACTGGCGATGATGCTTGGCTACAAACACGCAAGATTTTAAGCTCAGAATCTGTAAAAATGAACCATTTATAGCCATTTTTTGTTTTAAACATCAGCTGACTGCGGTGAGTTGAGTCCAAACTTCATGAGTTGTTCAGAGTTAATTACATTTGTTAAAGCAAAGATAATCAGTCAGCACTCAAGAGTGTAAGCTCGGGATCAGTCTCAACTACTATTTTCTCCAAATATCTGTAGACCAAGCTATAGCTATTTTTATGTTTGCTACATCTGCTTAGGTTAGACTAGATGTTTGTCAGCCTAATGGCTACTTTCTGAAGTTTTGTTACTTTATGTTTAATGACTCAACAAATGTTTGGCTTCCGATAAAACAAGGGACTCTTGACTGACGTAGATGAGCGACTTGCTGCGTGCGATCAAAAACAACAAAAGATAGACGTTTGAGTGATAATGTGACTCCTCTGATCAGCCGCAGCTTTAATATGACTGGAGCTGTATCAGTTTCTCACAACAGGAGCATGTCCTCAGAGAACGCACGATGATGAAATATTTCCTTATTGTTTGTGATTCGGGGCGGCCTGCAAGACCAAACACTGGGCGGTCTGTTCCTTATTTGAACAGCGGCTCTATCAGTTCCCAGACTGCTCCTCAGCTCTGACCTGCATGTTAACTCTGATTAGGTCATATGATAAACATTAGTGCTGCAGCTTTTCCCACAAACTCGGCACCTAAAAAAGTGTGGCCTCGGGGTGGCAATGTGACACGAGGCCACCGTTCAAAGCCGGAGCCGCGTGGGTCTTTTTATGGCATCTCGTTAGGGCTCCACCAACATGATAAAAGACCCACATTTAAAAAAAAAAAGACATGAGCTCCTCTGAGGATAGATGGAGATAGTTTTACACACACTGGCCCATTTCTTTTTTTGCGCTTCTCTCGGTGGCTTTTGTCACTCACATTCCTTTGTTGGTCACAGGCTCTCAGATGTCAGCTCCAAACATCCTTTTTCCAGTAAACAGAGCATTCATAGAAGTTAAGCTCGCTTTGACTAAATGGATACAGCACAGCTAAACAGCATAAACTTAACGCGTCTTTTTGGACATTTCTAACTGAATCAATTTCTAAACTACTTGTTCAAAAGCAGTAACTGTCTAGTTTTTACTGCCAAAAGGTGACAGATGATGCTTTTCCCATTTGTGAGTCTGTGATTTTTAATATTGAACCAAAATGTTTCAAACGACATCACAATAAAATGGTTATAGTTAATTTTCCTCTGGCATTAATGGTGACGGGAGGTTCCATTTTTAACGGGAAGAATTACATTTCTTGTGAGAATGCTGAAAGATCAAGTGCTTTACTGGAATTTGATGAAGAGACTGAAACTGAGTCGTTGAATCTAAAAGATACGGAATACCAGCTAAAAACTAAAAATGTGAACAAGATAGTAAAAAGCTAAAAAGGTAGAAAAAAATGCTAAAAAATATTTTACATTTTGCACAAAAAACATTAAAGGTTTGGCTAAAAATAAAGTATCAAAAGTCAAGTTAAAAGCTAAAAATATGAAAACGATAGCTTAAAGCTAAAAGTAGCAAAACACTAGCTAAATGGAATTAGCAAAAGGTTAGCTAACAGAAAAATTAAATCCACAAGAAGCACAACAAAACCTATGAAAGCAAAAAACTTGCTGAAAAATAAAAGCACAAAAAATGCTTAAAAACCATGGGAAAAGGCTAGCCAAATCCTAGAAGTAGCCAAAAGTTAGCTACATATATAAAAAAGGCCAGCTGCAAGCTAAAAACAGAATAAAGCTAACAAAGTTAAAAATTTGTACAACACTAGCACAAGTTTTGCTGAAAATTAAAAGCATAAGTCTAGTTAAAATCTAAAAGTTTGAAAAAGATAGCTTAAAGCTAAAAGTGGCAAAAGGCTAGCTGAAAACTAAAACTAGAAAAAGGCTAGATAAGAGAAAAAAGATGTAAAAGGGCTAGCTAGAAGCTAAAAGCAGAAAAAAGCTAAATAAGTTAAAATTTGCACAATACTTTCAAAAGTCTAGTTAAAAGCTAAAAGTATCAAAAAAGTCTAGTTAAAAGATAAAAGTATCAAAAGTCTAGTTAAAAGCTAAAAGTATCAAAAGTCTAGTTAAAAGCTAAAAGTATCAAAAAAGTCTAGTTAAAAGATAAAAGTATCAAAAGTCTAGTTAAAAGATAAAAGTAGCAGGATGATAGCTAAAAGGTGAAAGTTCAAAAACACTAACTAAAAGATAAAAGTAGCTAAATGTACCAAATTAAAGACAAAATTGGAGAAAAGTCTTGAAGCAGAGTTCAACGATAATAATTTTTAAAGGAATGTAGCATTTCTCAAAATATATTATGGTGAACATATTTGTACGGTAAATAAAATTGAATATTTGGAAAATTATGGAAGTTACAAAAACCAGAAGTAGTCTCCTGAATGTTTTGGTAAAAACGTTGAGTAAATTAACCAAAGCATGCCGACGTTGATAGCAAATAAATGTACAGGAAAAAAAACCCAGAAAACAATCATGTGAATGTTAAATCAGCACACACAAAAACACATAGAATGTAACAAAAATTAATTTGGAAAAAACTACATTATGCAACCAATTAATATTCAGAAAAGTTAACAGTAGAACAAAAGAACTATAGTTTAATATTTGAACTCTTCATAATTGTTGCCTTTATTTCTGCTTCGTCCTGTTTCAGGAACAAGCTGAAAAACAGACTTTAGCTGCGAGTAGCCTGAGTCGGCTCGTATCTCCGGAGTCTCCCGCTTTGCTGATGGTCATCCAGGAGAACCAGAACCCTGATGGCCAGTTTGGCTTTACATGTCACTGCAGAGAAGGAGGAGGACTGGTCGTGGTGGAGGTGGACGACTCCCACCTCTGTGTGGACGACAGGTACCAAAAGAACTCCTTCAAACGTCTCCTGAAAGCAGGATCACAGAGGGCCTCCAGCAGCTGGGAGCAGGGTTCAGTATCTTAGTCATGCCTCTCATATTTCTTTCATCACTACTCATTTTCAAAGCTCGGTAGCCATGGAAACGCGTCAGATAATAACCCCAAAACAAGCAACATGGTGATGTCATATGTTGATGCAGAAAAGACTGAAAAACAGAAGATAAAAGAACGTTTTACAATAGAGCTATTAAGAAATTATAGCTGTTACAGAAACGTAGCACTCCGAAACTCATTCGAGTCAACACCCCCCGTCACACACACACACACACACACACACACACACACACACACACACACACACACACCCACACACACACTGACATCACTCTTAGAGACGACCTTGTTATGGAAAAATTCTGCATCACTATTCAAAGATGAAACCACAGAAGTTGAAAAGAGTTTTTCAGTTTCACTGTGGGAGGTCAATTATCACCAAATCTGTGCCAGCAATTTTTACACAACTTACAAAAAAAAACAACTAAAGAGTTTCTATTTTACCTTTTTTCCCCACCACTATGTATCCTTAAATAAAAACTAATGCTGGAAATCATCCACGAGGCATGCTTAAAGCTTACCGAGTTGTAAGTTTGTAATGTTTTGAATAAATTCAGATTTATTTACCTACACTGTAAACTGTGAAGCTCTTTGTGGTCGAAATTCTTTCCCAGTGGTCTCTTTGGTGACTCGATTGTTTGTGTGTGTAATTGGCCTTGCAGATTGGTGGAGGTGAACGGCGTGGCCGTGGTGAACGCTACACTCGAGAAGCTAAATGATCTGCTCCTGCATGCTCCGTGCGCTCAGATTGTTGTCCTTCGCAGACTCCCACCCACTCCGGCCTCCTCTTTGTTGCTGCAGCCCAGGGTCAGCTCCGGTCCTGTACAAACACCCTGTTCTAGAAGGGATGTGGTCGCCATGGAAACCCTTCCACAACGTAAAGTGATGGCCATATAATGCTGAGTGGAATGAAGATGAACCTAAAGAGACCTGAAAGGCCATAAGACAGACCAGTGGTGTTAAATACGTTGAGTGAATCGTCAACCTTTCTTCCTTAGTTACAAGTCATTTTAACAGCTATACTGTGTGTAGAGCTACTACTACTATACTACTACTATACTACTACTACTTAAATAGTTCAGATGGTCTTTCCTGAATAATTAATACCTTACCTGTTGTAGAAATCTCTTTAATCGCCCTCAGTTTGGAGAGTTTACATGTATTTCTGACTGTATTGGCGAACTAAAAACTAATCCAAAGTAAATCCAAAACAACTAGATTCACCAAAATACATTTGTATTTCATGCAAACACTATTACATCACTGTCTATTTGATGTAGGACTTTTCATTAGTTTAGCTATAGTGCTGAACAGAAACCTGGGGTTATTTTAATTCTCATCTATTAAAGAAGAGTAATATGCAGTTCTAGCTTTACGGAGAGCTTTTTTATAAGTTAGCAGACTATCTCTCCAAGATAAATTAAATTATTTAACGTTAGTGGAATGCCATTTTCTTTCCAGCTTTCTAGATGCCTGTTTTAAAGCATGTAACCCAGAATTAATACTGTTATTAACGGATTTTTATTTATGTGAATGTTTCTGTGCAGTGCCCTGAGACGACTTCTGTTGTGAATTGGCACTATATAAATAAACTGAATTGATTTGATTAAGGCAGAGTTATTCTGGTAGAAATATGACATCCCTGCGGGAAGTGCAGAAATCTTCAGTAATCTGCTGCCTTTGTTCACAAATAACCACAGAATTCTATTTAAATAATTGTGTATTGGGCCACTGACAGCAATATTTACTTTCCAGTTTTCTTTAAATTGGATTCATTTAAAAATGAGAGGAATCCCCATTTATTAAATAACTTTAGGACTAACTGAGTTCATCAGTCTAGTCGTAATTAAACTACCGGTAATCTCTATAAACTGAGGTTTTTCAAAAAGCTATCTACAACAGGTAAGATACTAAATCTTCATAATTCTTGCACTGAATCACACTTGGGAAATAAACAGCCAAACTGTTGCTGTACAAAATAAAACATTTCATTTTTATTTGGACCCTTTCATGTTTAAACGTTTCTTTTCATGGAAAAATAATAATTTAAGGATAAATTACAGATCTTAAAATGATTTATTTATTATTTCTTGTCGCCAAATTGCAAACGCAGGCCTGTGTTGGCTGTGTGTGTGTTTGATGCCAGTTTGTCTCATGAGCCTTTGGACAATTTGAGTGAAACTTTCAGAAATTAATCATTAGATGCACATGTACAACTGATAAAACATGTGGAGTTAACCCAATTAAAGATGGCTGCCACAGCCAAATGATGTTCAGCAACACAAAAATGGCTGTAAATATATTACTGTATTTTCTGCCGTACATGTCACACGCCCTATAAGTCGCATCAGTCCAAATATGTCTAATAAAGTGGAAAAATCCATAAATACGTTGCTTCGCCGTGTACGTCGCATTTATTATGCGTTACTGCCGACAACCCGGAAATGTGGGCTGAACCCAGAAATGTGGGCCGGTGTTGTGCCAAAAATCGATTAGCTGCCAAATGGCATCCGCGGGGGCATGCACAGGAGGACTTGAACAAGAATTTAACAAGATAACCAACTAAAAACAATTATTTGTTTGCTCGCCTTTATAGCAAAGGTGTGTCAGATGGACTTTTACTTAATAAATACACTTCAATGGTCAAATTAGCTGCATTTTGCAGGGCAGCACAGCGAAATGAAGCTGGTTGCTCCAGGCAGACGATGGTGTCAGTCTATGGCGAGCCGATTGTGTCATTAATAGCCACTTTTACCAATTACCTGACAACGGCATGACATACTACTCAAGTGCCATCTAGAGGCTGAAAATGGTAGTGTTCAATATTTTCAGTCAGAATGAATGGAAAAAGGTCATATCTCAGCCACAATTTGTTTTATAAATATGAGGAAAAAAATCCATAAATTATTCGCTTCGGGATATAAGTCGCAGGGGATGCAAATTAACTGCGACTTATAGGGCGAAAAATACGGTAGCTTTAAGGTTAGTGTGGTTGTAGCTGAAACAGATCCCTGAGAAATAAACAGGTTGCAAAAGATTTCTGTTTGAACTTTGTTTATTCACAGCTTGGAGTCAGCTCTGTCTGGCTGTTAGAGAAAGAAAGTTTCTCAATGCTTTAAAAAGTCTTTTATGTCTGAAAATATATGGTGTCAGGAAGTCTCTGCAGCTTTGACACCAGAATATTTGTGAAAAAGCACAAGCTTCAAATATAAGAGTATTCTCTCCTCTTTAAGTTTGTAATGTAATCCACTGCAATAAAAGAATAAATCCTTGTGTCCGGAAGTGTCCCATTCATAAGGCTTTTTTTCTTCTCCTTTTGTTAAGTGGCAGTGAATCATGCATGTCTGACAAAAAGCCTGCATAAACACAACTAAAACCTGACCCAGACCCCCAAGGGTCCCACAGAGCCTGAGAGGCAAAGAGACCACTTTTGCTTGCCACATGATGAGAAAGGTCACAGGTCAGTCACCAACACATTAGCGTCTCGATGGTTTTCAAATCAAAGCCGAAACGAGCTCCTTCTAATCCCCATGATGAGAGAGGCGGCATTTGGAGCTCGCCAAACGGAGCCACAGGGAGGGAGGAGCATCACGCTGGCAAGCTGGAACTGTGAAGGATTTATTCACAGGCATGAGAAATTTATTCAGACTATGCTGCAACATGTTCATCTGTCCAATGACAGATCAACCAAAACAACAAACCACAAAAAGCCAAACAATGCAGTGAGGAGTTATTAGAAGCGACACACCAGCGCAGTAACAGGGTGTAGACACGCTAAAGGAGGAGACGAGGAGGAAGGAATTTAAAGATGATCATGCTTCTCGTCAAGAAATACATATAAATGTAAAAGCTGTTGAGGCGGCGAAGTTCTTTATTCTACTCGGCAGAAAGAGGGTGAAAATCATAGGTCTGTAAAGTAAAGCCACACAATGGAGGGAGAGAACGTGTCATGGCTGCCTCCATGGAAACAAATTAACACTGAAGAAAATGAGACTAAATCCCATAAACACCACGACTGGCAGAGGTTGAAAGAAGCCGACGGATTGCCAGTGACCGACAGAGCCCAGAACTCTTACAGACTCTGATATTACAGCTACGAACCACTGCATGTTGGCGATTTATTAATCAGGAGAACCCTTCCAGTCAGTATTTAAACTGACACAAATTATTTAGATGATGGAGAGGAAGACGTAAAATGCTAGGCGAGTTCATTCAAACAGCAGCCAGTGCTTTACAGATGAATATATTACAAGAGGAACTTGCAAAGAAAGAAAAAGGATTACATTAAAATCTGTGCGGTACATATAAAACTGGAGGTTATGAATACAGCGGTCCCTCGCTACTTCGCGGTTCGACTTTCGTGAACTCGCTCTTTCGCGTTTTTTCAACGATTGTCAACTTTAATATTACTTACGTGATTGGGATGGTACAGATAAAAAGATAACGGAAAAAAAGACTTTGGGCAGGCGTTGCCATTTTGTAATTTTCTTTCAATAAGCCTATACTGTAAGGCCAGTTGAAAGGACTACATTACCCAGAAACCAACAGTGCTTTTGACTGCTGCTTTTTGCCAGAAAGGAGGGCAAGTTATAATCCGATCCAAACCTTACTAAAAATTTGAGTCCTTATTCATAGTGACTATGGCAGTCAGTGGATTCAGAGAGCCGACCAGAACCGGACCAGGACTACTTCCAGCCTTATCGGTCAATCCCAGTGCTGCTTGTCGGCCCATGAAGCCTCTCGAGCTGGGAGGTGTTGCCTGGAGGTCCGGTGTCTTCTCCAGAGCTCACCCGGACTTTTTTCATCTGGATTTGGACTCGATCAGGACCATTGTGGGGTTTTGTGCTGGCTCTCCGAAGGTCCGGCTCTCTCCAGAAGCGCCTTGTGCTCAACGGCTGCAGAGAGCCGATCAGAACCGGACCAAGGCTGGTGGGTAGCGATATAAAATTTTGCAATATTGCAGTACATATACACATGTTAAAATGATGTAGGCTGAAGAGTTTAGAACTTTGCAGGAGTGTGGGGAGAGTTTATAAAGCCTTAAAATATATATAAATACTAAAATTAATAGGGTTCCTACTTCACGTTTTTTCCAGGGTGTCCTGAATAACCCCCATGATAAATCGAGGGACTATTGTATAACTAAGGTTCCCTGCGGGAGGGCAACAAGGTGCAACACATATGTATATGGGGATTGTGTCCTCGTGAGACCTAACCTGAAGAAATTTCCTCCAACGCACCCGTCAAAAACCAATGAGACTGCTGCATACACAGGAGGCCCCGCCCTCCTGGGTTACAAATATGCAGCGTGGTCTCATTTCCCTAACCTTTTTGCACTTCACCTCGCTTTAACCTGATTGCAGGTCTCTTGATTGTGGCTTAACTGTCTGATTGGAGGTGAGCTTGCTCCCCGCCCAGGGCGTCGCTACAAGGTTTGATCCTGCTCGCTGCTAGTTTAGCCTGCCATCTGCTTACCCCGTTCAGCTCAGCTAACGGTCACTTTTCTGCCTTGCCGTCTTTCTAGCCTGTTTAGCTTGCTAACCGGCAAACTACTCTCGATCGCTAACATGACGCCGGAGAAGAGTAAGAAGGATCTCACGAGGGCGCAATCTCCATATGTGTTGTACCGAGTGTACTGACGGAAAGGGAACAAACTTAAACTTTCTGTTTTCAACGTTTTCAGTCCTGGTTTAAAGAGACCAACGGTTTTTGTACAGAGTTCAGGAACACATCAACTGAATGCTGCCTCCTCTGGTTTGGTAGAAGCCAAATAAACCAGAGTAAACTTGTCCCCGAGGACCCGAGGGGGTCTTCACCTGACAGGTAACTCTGTGACGTAATGAGACCAAAGGGTGTTCAGCGTCTTATAAACCAATAATGAGATTTAAAAATACTTCCTGTTGCAGACAGGAAGTTAA